CACACTGTTGTCTGTGTTTTGCTACTATCTTCTTACTATCTTCTTATTTTTTAAGTTTAATTTTGTTTTCACTGTGGGAGAGGATAAATGATTACTGTTTTAAGCTCTTAAATTAGGGGTAATTTGTTACACAACCAGCATCACATTTTTAAAAATGACATGAACAAGTTGACTAGATCCCAGGTTCCTGTCCTAAACACCTGAAGTGATTTTTTTTATTGTTGACAGTATTACAGATGTCCCCCATTCCTCCCCCTTTGCCCTCTTCCACCCAGCCCCTGTCCCCCCTCCCCTGGCCTTTACCACACTATTGTCTGTGTCCATGGGCTATGCATATATGTTCTATGGCTAATCCCTTCACTCTTTCTTTCATCCAGTCTCCTCCATGTCCCTCCCCTCTGAGGCCTGTCGGTTTATTCCCTGTATCCATGCCTCTGGTTCTCTTTTGTTTGTCAGTTTGGCAGTTTATTTTGTTCATTATATTCCACATATGAGTGAGATCATGTGATACTTGTCTTTCTCTGACTGGCTTATTTTGCCTAGTATAATACTCTCCAGGTCCCCCCATGCTGTCTGAGAGGGTAAGGGAGACATCTTTTTTGCAGCCACATAGTATTCCATGGTTACATGTACTATATCTTTTTTTAGCCATTTGTCTACTGATGGGCACTTGGGCTATTTCCAGATCTTGGCTACTGTAAATGACTCTGCTATGAACATAGGGGTGCATACATTCTTTCTGATTGGTGTTTCAGGATTCTGAGGATATATTCCTAGAAGTGGGATCACTGGGTCATTTGCTTGGGAAATTCTATTGTATAGACCAGTGTTTTGTGAACTAAGGGTGGGGGTGGGCATATGTATTAGAATCACCTGTCACAATATCTTGTCTTTGCAGGATCTCTTATTCAAGGCAGATCAAAGACAGAAATGTGGTATTCCCTAGGTCCATGACCAATACCCATTTAAACATTATTATAAATATTATATATTATCCCATTAATTCCTTACATAAATTACAAGAAGTGTTCAGTTCTCAATCTTTCCCACATGCTCTTTTGTATGCAGGACTGAAGAGTATTTTTATGTGAAAAAATACCAAGAGCCACAAGATGCAAGCAATTTTTTTTCTGAGAGAATGATCATCCATTATATTAAGAACAGAAAACAAAACTTTACCCAATAAATTTTATGATTATTTAGTATACATTTAAGTTTCCATATTATTCAACTTAAGGTAACTGGAGGCATATGGAATAGAAGATAAAAAATGGCAAGTAAAATTTAGCTTTTCTTAGATCTGCAAATAGTAATCAGTTTCCCAAATGACAAGGGCAGCCACTAAGCAAAGGACAATATTTACTTTTGCATAAAGTGGAAGCAACTATTTTCTTATGTCAAAAAATTTAGCCATATTTCACACACAGTTATTATTCATATGTTAATATAGACTTATTTTTTTAATTAAATCTTTACGGTTCAGATTATTACAGTCGCTCCTCTTTTTTCCCCCCATAGCTCCCCTCCACCCGGTTCCCACCCCACCCTCTGCCCTTACCCCCCCCCACTGTCCTCATCCATAGGTGTACAATTTTTGTCTAGTCGCTTCCTGCACCCCCCACACCGCTTCCCCCCCGAGAATTGTCAGTCCACTCCCTTTCTATGCCCCTGATTCTATTATATTCACCAGTTTATTTTGTTCATCAGATTTTTTATTCACTTGATTTTTAGATTCACTTGTTGATAGATATGTATTTGTTGTTCATAATTTGTATCTTTACCTTTTTCTTCTTCCTCTTCTTAAAGGATACCTTTCAGCATTTCATATAATATTGGTTTGGTGGTGATTAACTCCTTTAGCTTTTTCTTATCTGTGAAGCTCTTTATCTGACCTTCAATTCTGAATGATAGCTTTGCTGGGTAAAGTAATCTTGGTTGTAAGTTCTTGGTATTCATCACTTTGAATATTTCTTGCCACTCCCTTCTGGCCTGCAAAGTTTCTGTTGAGAAATCAGCTGACAATCTTATGGGTACTCCCTTGTAGGTAACTGACTGTTTTTCTCTTGCTGCTTTTAAGATTCTCTCTTTGTCTTTTGCTCTTGGCATTTTAATTATGATGTGTCTTGGTGTGGTCCTCTTTGGATTCCTTTTGTTTGGGGTTCTCTGCGCTTCCTGGACTTGTAAGTCTATTTCTTTCACCAGGTAGGAGAAGTGTTCTGTCATTATTTTTTCAAATAGGTTTTCAATATCTTGCTCTCTCTCTTCTTCTGGCACCCCCATAATTCGGATGTTGGTACACTTGAAGTTGTCCCAGAGGCTCCTTACAATATCTTCATATTTTTTTATTCTTTTTTCTTTTTGTTTTTCTGGTTGGGTGTTTTTTGCTTCTTCGTATTTCAAATCTTTGACTTGATTCTTGCAATCCTCTAGTCTGCTGTTGGGAGTCTGTATAATATTCTTTATTTCAGTCAGTGTATGCTTAATTTCTAGTTGGCCCTTTTTCATATCCTCGAGGGTCTCACTAGATTTATCGAGGGTCTCCCTAAATTTATCGGCAGTTTCTAGAAAATTCTTGAAAAACCTTATAACCATAGTTTTGAACTCTTTATCTAGTAGTTTGCTTTCCTCCATTTCTGTCATTTGTGACCTGTTTCTTTGTCTCCGCATTTTGGCTGCTTCCCTGTGTTCATAGAGTGGCTTTCTGTGCTAAGTGTCCTATAGGGCCCAGTGGCTCAGCCTCCCCAATTACCTGAGGTGGACAGTCTTGGTGCACCCCTTTGTGGGCTTTGTGCACAGTCTTGTTGTAGTTAAGCCTTGATTGTTGTAGTTATCACTGGGAGGAAGTGACCTCCAGGCCAATTGGCTGTGAGAATCAGCTGTGTCTATGGTGGGAGAACTTCTGTGCTGGAGACACCCTTATGGGGCAAGACTTGCTTTAGTGGGGCTTTGGTGCTCACTGAGTCTGCCCCCTGAGTGTGTCCCTTATGGATCTGAGGAGTCGTAATCTGGATGGTCCCACTCTGACCACTGGGTACACTGGCTCTTGGATCTCAAAGGAGATGCTAATTTAGCCTCTGCCTGAGGCTACCCAGCAGGAGCTACAGAGAGATCTGCAGATTCCTCTTCTTTTTTGGGGGTTTGGAGGTGCCCAGATGAGGCCCCGCTGTGAAGCAATGCAAGCTGCTGTGGGGCCTTGGGCCTTCTATTGGATGTTCTGGGTCTCTCTGACCTAGCTGCAGTTTGTTAGGTAATTTTAGATTGCAAAGGGCCAGGCCATTCATATGCAAAAGCCTCTGCACGCAGCTTGGGTGGGGCAGGGTCTCAGGGAATGAACAGGGTGGAGCAAACAGCTATGGCTGATCCTCAACCCTGCCCTAAGAGGCCCCGGTTCTCAGTGTCCCACGGTAATTGCTGCAAGCACCTCTGAGAGAAAGCCGCCCTAGAGATCTGCCCAATGCCAGACAGACCAGTTTCTCCCCGTATGAGTCTGGGTCCCCAGAGACTCGCCTGGAACTGGAGTTCAGAGTGGTTGGGAGCTTTTGTCTCCCTCCTGATTGAAAAAGACAACCGTGTCCTTAATTGCCAGCCCTTTCTGCGTGCGCATCCATAACTCTGCACTTTCCATCTGCACCTCCTCTGAGTCTCAGTGTGCTTTTCTCTTTCCTTCTAGTTGTAGAATTTCCACTCAGCCAGCCTTCCTGTGGTTCTGGGTGATGTCCGTTTTGTCTTTTAGTTGTATTTTTGAAGTGGTTGTACAAGGCAGCAATTTCAGCTGTTTACCTATGCCACCATCTTGGTTTCCTCTAATATTGACTTATTTTTACTGAGAGAGGGTTTGGCATTTCTCTTTACATAGCCCTATATCTGAAGCAGTGATTCTTAAGGGTACACCGACTGAGAAATTATAAAGTTATCTCAGGAGATTACACTGTCAAAAGTCTGACATTCCACTTAAGGAGTCCTCTCTCACTCCCCCCAAAAAACTGTCGTAGTAAGCCATTATCACAGATGGGAATGTGGTTTATCAGTGTGTAGGGAAAGAAAAAAGTGCTTAAAAACTGATGATCAATAATAGCAAGACAGACAAATGTACGCATGCATGGATATAAGGCTATATCACGGATAAAAGACAGGATGCTTGCTTGAGAGGAAACATTAACTCATAAAACAATCAGGGTACAATGAAGGTGTTAAACTGCTAGTTCACATTTTAAAGTATTGCCACAAAATTCTGGAAAACAGGCCTGATAACCTTTATAGCATTCTGGGAAAGGAAGTGGGCCATTATAGAAGCAAAGTTACTTTGGATCAATCTAGTATGTTGTCTTAAGTTAACCTAGTTGCCCTTCATCCTTCCAACTCATTTTGTTCAGCAAAATTATCTGTTCACAAGGTATCCAGGAAATGAGACACATATGCAAACAAACAAAAAAACGCACCTGATCCCCCCCCCCCCCACGAATACTAGTATAAGGTAGAAAGTGATAAGTTTCCCAAAATAAATATGGAGTGTCAGGGACATTCATAGGTGGGAGAGATGACATTACATTGGAGCAGAGTGTCAGGCAAAACTCCATTAATCTCTAGACCTCTCAGCTCCTTTCCCAAGCACTAAAGCAGTTATTGATGTTTTGGGATAATTTAGACACTGCCTTTTGGCAGTACTGCTATTTTTTAAAAAATGTATTATTAAGCCTTCTCAGTGTGTGATTTTTGGTTTCTTAAATGTGAACTTGTTACATTTTGGAGCCATAGATTTCTCTGTTGGAGTGTCTTACCCATTAGACAGTGGAAATTATTTTGGGAAAAGAGGTTATTCTGTTTTACTCAGTTCAGGCATGTGTTTTCTGAGTCGTTTCCATGCACATATATCTGCTACCCAATATGTATAGTGGAGATAGTTTAGGGCTTTGGGGGAAAGTTAGGGAGAACCACTATTCCTCAGCAGGCATTCGGGCAGCAGATGCAGAAGTGAGACAGTTATGTGGGCACTCCTGTACACGCGCGCGCGCACACACACACACACACACACACACACGCACACACACACAGCTGACTTGGCAGCTGTGAGGATGGGGGTGGGGGGACTCATTGCTTGTTAAGCCAAATCAAGTGCCTGCATGTCTCAGGCTGGATTGAAGCCTCCAGCGTGTTTGGAGTTAATTCCCATTAGGTTGGACTCCGCCCCTCTCTCCCAAAGGTAAAGCAGGGTTTTCAGGCAACCCTGCAAAGAGCAGCTGGGATTCCCATCCCCTTCTGACAAGCTGTAAGGAGAAGTTGTTTCTCAGATCTGAGTTTGAAGAGAGGAAACAAGTCAATCAGCCTTCGTGGCCAGAAGGTAAATTTGCAGCTTGGGCCAAATGCAATTGAAACAGCTGGATAAAAACTGCTTTGCTCTCCCCTTGCTCAGCCTCCTCCTCCCCTTCCTTTCCCAGGCTTCCCGTCCTTTCATCTCACAGCTCAGAGAAGCTGTTTCTTCCCAAAGGCAGCCTGGTACATTTTTCCTTCCACATAGTTTGTTGTTTGCACAGAGGCTAAACGGAATCAGGGCTGGGTTCCTATTTCATATTGACGTGGTTTGAGGACCTAAGGGTTAAATGCTAGTTGGTTTCCCCAGAAGAATTGGTAACTTGAGGAGAGGAAGTGCATGTCTCTGGGAGTGGACAGAGGGATTTTGTTCTGACTTGTCTGTGGAAGTAAAAGCGGATCTGGTTTGCTGATGTGCTGGGGTTGATCTCTTAGACTTGCCTAAACTGGGGCTATGAGACTGAAATGGGGTAATGGCGTTAAACTGAAATGCAGATGTTGAAATCAGTTGAGGCTAGAAATAAAAGAATGCATTCACTCAGTAAATATTTGTGAGTTCTTAACTATGTGCCAAGCATGATGACTTCCAGAAAACCTGAGATAGTTTAACTATAAATCCATTCTTGAAGAACACTGGGCCAAGTGTTTCCATTTTGTGGTAAAAAACTAAAAGCAAAACGAAGACTAGGAGTGAGGAGAAATCACTTAGTGTTTGGGGAAACAGATGGGGAGGGGAGTGATGTTCTACTTCTTAGATGACCTCAAGTCTTCTCTGATACTTATGGGAAATGGAGTCTTCTCTGGTAGGGGGGAGAATTGACAGCTATCCTAGTGTTAGGTTGACCATAGATATTACTTCACTCTAACTTTACATTCTATTATCTCCATTTTATAGAGGAAACTGAACCTCAGAGGTTTTAAGTGATCCTCTCAAGTTCATAGAACCTATAAGGGACAGACCTCAGGACTCTACCAGATCTGATTCCAAACTCTTGGCTCTTTTCCACTAAAACAGTATTTCTCAATCATTAGTTCCCATCAGAATCAATTGAGGATTAAAAAAATGCAAATCCCGTAAGTTCTAATTTAGTGAATATGAGAAGGAATGTAATACTCTGCATTTTGAATAAGCATTCAAAGTGATTCTGGTGCAGAGAGTCTAGAGCCCCATTCTGAGAAACAGTCAATATGCCATGCTGCCTCTCATGTCTGCTGAAGTGGTCAGAGAAGCATTTAGCTCACCTTCTTCCTACACTGTCCAGGTTCACTGAATGGAGGTGGTGAACTGTGATGGCATTTTATTCCCAGTTGAGGCCATGGTTAGAGGGACTACTGGGCCAACAATAGCAGAGCTGGGGCTAGAGCTTAAACAAGTGAGTAGATGGTTTACCAGTTAGCTCATTGCTGATAGTGCTTAACAATGTCTTGCCAAAGTAGGCCTGTAGGAATAGTTTCTAACTTGTATAGGGTATGACACTCCTAGCCAATCAATTAAGCACTGAAGATAGTGGTACCTGTCAATCCAGAGTAATAACTGCGAAGAAGATCTCCAATTGGCATCCTACTTTCCAAAGCAGAAGCTCAATGAACAGCATTTTTTTTTTCATGGAAGGGAGAAGGTCATATGAAATTTAGAGACATCATTCTAATCCCTACTTTTCTAACCTCAGACTCTAGAGCAAGAGAATAGCTCAGGACCTGATATGGAGGATCTTTCTTATTTAAAAAAAATATTTTTGTTGTGTTTAGAGAGGAAGGGAGAGGGAGAGAGAGATAGAAACATCAATGATGAGAGAGAATCATTGATTGGCTGCCTCCTGCACACCCACCACTGGGGAGCCAGCCAGAAACCCAGGCATGTGCCCTGACCAGGAATCAAACCTTAACCTCCTGGTTCATAGGTTGACGCTCAACCACTGATCCATGCTGGCCAAGCTGGAGGGGTTTTTTCTGTGTTTTTTTTTAAAGTAAAATTGTCAAGTGCTTTCATTAAATTTTGTGTGTGTTTTTCTTTATTTATTAAGGTATTACATATGTGTCCTTATCCCCCCATTACCCCCCACCCCCCACTCATGCCCTCACCCCCCTGTTGTCTGTGTCCATTGGTTAGACTTATATGTATGCATACAAATCCTTTGGTTGAACTCTCCCTCTTACCCCCACCCTCCTCTATCTTCCCTCTAAGGTTTGATGGTCTGATTGATGCTTCTCTGTCTCTGGATCTGTTTTTGTTCATCAGTTTATGTTGTTCATTGTATTCCATAAATGAGTGAGATCATGTCATATTTATCTTTCTCTGACTGGCTTATTTCACTTAGCATAATGCTCTCCAGTTCCATCCATGCTGTTGCAAATGGTAAGAATTCCTTCTTTTTACCGCAGCGTAGTATTCCATTGTGTTATGGACTCTCTTCATCTCTGCATGGCCAACTTGATTGTTTACAATTGACCTTCTAGGTTGTCAATGACTCGATGGTCCTCTCTCTCTACTTACTCTCTCGCTTCTTGTCTTCTAATGCCTTAACTGCTTGTGATCATCCCCACCTCAGGATGAAAATATGAAAATAAAGAAATAAACAAGTCCAACACAGTTAGTTTTGCTAGTCTTTATACCCTAGGAAAAAATGAAAGAAGGAAGGAGAAAGCTTAGAAAGAGGATAGCAAGTATGAAAGCTGAGGAATTTGAAAGATAAGGCTTTAATTAAAAGTGAGGTCTTCTTAAGCAGAGAATAGTAGAATGATGGTTGCCAGGGGTTTGGTGGAGGGGAAAATGAGGAATTGTTGCTCAATGGGTGCAAAGTTTTAGTTAGGCCATTGAATAAATTCTAGAGATCTTCTGTTCAACTTTGTGTCTATAGTTAATAATACAGTGTTGTGTACTTTAAAATACGTTAAGAGGATAGATTTTATGTTAAGTGCTCTTAATACACACACACACACACACACACACACACACACACACACAGGACTTTTTGAAGGTTATGAATATGTTTAGTGCCTTAATTGTGTTCATGGTTTTATAGATATAGGCATATGTCTAAACTCATTGAGATGTATATTTTAAATATGTACATATTTTTCATATAGCAATTATACCTCAAAAAAGCTTGAAAAAAGTGAGGTGTTCTTCAAGTTGTGGATATATAAATGGGAAATAAAGCCTTTGATGTAGCTACATCATGATATGATTTCAGGCATAGCAGAACCTGAGGCAACTCTCTTTGTGAAGATACACAGAGAAGGAGAAACTTCCAAGGGACTTTGGTGGCAGTAAGTGAAGGGAGAAATTATTGGGAAGTAGAAATAGATCCCGTTTGAGGTTGTGTCTGAAACAGGCTACTTATATACCCAACTTGACACAAGGAGGCACATTGGGCAAAGACATTTTTCTGGAACAGGACTCTATTTGTGCACTGGAAACATATGCCTGTTTATCTTGCTCATTTCCTAGGGAAGTCTCAACACTGAGTATTTGTAACAGGGTTGGCACGTAGGCAATGCATACTATCTGGGGGCGTGAGTAGAAAGGCCTGTTCATACTTCTTTGCCAAAATCAGTGACAACAAAGCGGCTCCTTGCAGACCAGTCTGAACCAGCAGTCTTACAGCCATGTTTTCCTCAGCAGCTGCATATCAGAGACTCCCTTTCTGACCACTTCATGTTCTGGTCATTAATTTGCTGGCTGTTTTGCCTGGGCCCTTGGTAAGGTATTGCTTTCTTTAACTCAGAAGTTGTATGGCAAGCTCAAGTGGGAACAAAAGGATTTTTAGTCTTCTGTGGGGACTGGGGAGGAGGCTAGGTAGAGGAATGATTTGTTTTTCTCCACCAAGAAAAATATAAGAGCAATGCTTCCGGTTTTACTGATACTAAATAAGTGCCCACAGTGAGTAGGTACACACAAGAGTGCAGAGGTAAGAACAAATGATTAAAGACTGGGCAATGAGTCACCGCAGGGAGAGTTAGAATACTCATTTTTGGGGAAAAGTGCCAACAGTAAGCTACAGCAATCATACTTGATGAAGGGCTCTCATCTGGAGGACAGTGGCCAACCTGTTCTCCATTCCCTCTGAGGACCTGACCAAAGGAATTGTCATAAATTTCAGCAGAAAATGTTTAAAACGAGACATAAATAATTCTTGACAGTGAGAATTGTTAAGCTTCTGAGAAAAAAATGTAGTCTTTTTCTTTAGAGTTCTTTAAAAGCAACCATTTGACATAAACAGGTTAGGTGGGTTTCCTGACTCATATAGTTTGAAGTGATCTCTACCCATGATCTGTGTTAGAATAACTACCGTATCTCCAAAGTAGTGAACAGTAGTCTTTAGTAAGAATAGTAAATTCGGAACAGATTTTATGCTTTCACCCTGGTTGTTACAACTTTCTGGCCACTCTCACTGCTTCTCATATAACCACTCTCAGAAACAGGAATGTAACCCATTTAGGTGATGAACAAACTAATATATGAGGGACCATGTAACACCAAAGAGAGAGGGTCAATAACAAATCTATTAATACCTTGTTACTGGGCCAATTAGCATAACCACATTGTGAATTCCTGATTTCTGAAATCCAGTGTAGCTAGACATTCTAGGACATGGAAACAAAGCTATTGCATACATGAAATATACAAGAAGAATAAAGATATAAAGAAGCATAGAATTATTTGTGATTTTTAAAATTATTTTTTTGGGTTAATCCTCTCCTGGGGATATTTTTCCCATTGATTTTTAGAGAGAGTGGTAAGGAGGGTGGAAGGGAGATAGAGAGAGACAGAGAAACACTGATGTGAGAGAGACAGATCAATTGGTTGCCTCCCCCATGCACCCTAACTGTGGCCTGAGATAGAATCTGCAACGCAGTATATGCCCTTGACTGGGAATCAAACCTGAGACCCTTCGGTGCATAGGCCAAGGCTCTAGCCACTGAGCAACACCAGCCAGGGAGATTTTTATTTATGTGAGAGCAAAGACTTAGCTAGTTCCTGTGAATAAACTTGGATTGCTTTGGAGGGACAAAGGGAAGTTACTCCATTGCAGATTATGCAGGAACTAAAAGCATTTACCTGAATGCACTTTCCTATCTGACACAGGTATCAGTGAGCATGCACAGACTCCACACAGCCCATTGCTTCTCTATCCAGCCATAGAAGAAGCTGGGCTGGGGCTTATTTTGTGTTCAGAAAACACTGAGCCATTGGATCTCTTCCTTGACTGCATAAGGTCAAGTCTATGATTCACAAAGGTTTACATTCAAAATATATAAGCTTTATCCCTCCATTGTTTAATTCTGTGATCACTTTTAACTCTTACTAGTATTGCTTGAATCCTGCAGAGAGAACATTAGGAAATCAAGTGTGACAGTGATTTTCAACCTGCTGTCCATGGGCGGTGCTGGTTCACCACCCCTCTAGTCCTAGAGGGACATCCAAGTTTGGGACATTCCTAGTTTTATCACTGAAAGTCGCATATCCCAGGAAACTCCTTAGTCCCAGGCAAACTGGAATGGTTGGTCATCCTAGTCCTAAATGAAATAAGGACAATGAGTTTTTCTTAATGTTGAACATATTTAATTTAAATTTTGAGAGCCAATGAGTTTTTCTAAAACTAAATATATTTAATTTAAACTGAATTTTGTGATTCTGCCTTCCCAAATCTTAGCTTTAAAATACCATTTAAAAAATAAAATTATGTTGACAGTGGTTGGTAGTGTTCTAACATTTTTATTAAAGTATTTTGATATACAATATGATATTAGTTTCAGGTGTACAACATAGTGACTCTACATTTATATGTCTTATAATCACCACAATATGTCTAGTAACCATCTGTCACTGTACACACTTATTGTGATATTATTGACTATATTACCTATGCTGTACATTACATCCCCATGACTTATTTTATAACTGCAATTTGTACTTCTTATTTCCTTTCACCTATTTCACCCATCTTCCTACCCCCACTCATGTGGCAACCATCACTTTTTTCTCTATATCTATGAGTCTGGTTCTGTCTTGGTTTGCTTTTTCATTTTTTAAGTACATAAAGGGTGTCCCAAAATTCATGCAAGCAGTAATTTTGATGGAAAAACACTGGTTTATAATTAAAAATTGTAAATTTTTTATTGATTCATAAAGTATAGAGTATAGGGTTATGTATGGAATAGCATATCGGGTAAATGGCCTCCACAGCTTTGTTGGGACATACGCAAATGGATTATGGAACAACAACAAGTGGATGCTGATTTTTCAAACAAAATCATCTTCAGCGATGAGGCTCATTTTCATCTTGATGGCTTGGTTAATCGACAAAATTGTCACATTTGGGGTTCAGAAAATCCACGAGTGGTTGTTGAGAAACAAATGCATCTACAACGTGTCACTGTTTGGTGCGGATTTTGGGCTGGAGGCATCATCGGACCATTCTTCTTTGAAAATGCGGCTGCTCAGGCAATAACAGTTAATGGTGCTCGCTATCACGACATGATAATCCATTTACCTGATATGCTATTCCATACATAACACTATACCAGTGATGGCGAACCTTTTGAGCTCAGTGTGTCAGCATTTTGAAAAACCCTAACTTAACTCTGGTGCTGTGTCACATATAGAAATTTTTTGATATTTGCAACCATAGTAAAACAAAGACTTATATTTTTGATATTTATTTTATATATTTAAATGCCATTTAACAAAGAAAAATCAACCAAAAAAATGAGTTCGCGTGTCACCTCTGACACGCGTGTCATAGGTTCGCCGTCACTGCCCTATACTGTATACTTTATGAATCAATAAAAAATGTACAATTTTTAATTATAAACCTGTGCTTTCTATCAAAATTACCTCTTGCATGAATTTTGGGACACCCTTTATAAGTAAAATCATATGGTATTTGTCTTTCTCTGTCTGACTTACTTCACTTAGCATAATACCCTCAAGGTCTGTGCATGTTGTTGCAAATGGCAAGATTTCCTTCTTTTTTTACTGCTGAATAATATTTCATTGTATATGTGTGTGTGTGCATCTTCTTTATACCATAAAGTATCAATAGTATTGTAGTCTTTTAAACAGCTTGATTTGTCACAGATGATATAAGCTTATGTCAGAACCCCTCCTTTTATTTCTAGTATAGTATAAGTACTATTCACTGATATAGTTCCTTTCTCTTCCTTGAGTTCTCTGCCCTTCTATTGGTTGTCATACTGGGCCTTTTGATCTTCAAGTGATCACAGTCATGGAGGACATATGCGGTTAGTTTTGACTACAATTTCTGAACTTGGAACAACTTATGTTCTTGTGCTGTTGCTTTATACACTGCTTAGAGAAAGTGGCCTTCCTATTTCTTACCATCTCTGTCTTCCCCTCTAATTTTTTCCCACCCTTAAACATTTTTTTTCTTGAAATTCTGTATGAGAGATCATAGAAGCGTTTAATTGTAATACTTTTGGGGTCATGAGGAAGAATATGGAGGAAGGTTTCTTAGCTTTCTGATCCTCAATTTGATCATTTGTAAATTGGGGTTAATACCTTTCTTACCAACCTAAGGAGATTGTTGGACAGAGCGAATGAAATAATGGACTTGGAAGGGACTGTGATGATGCAGCCGCAGATGTTTATCAGCTTGTTTCCTCTCATTCTCTGGCCTGGGCTTTTTCACCAGGAAGTGAGTCCACAGCAGAGGGCTGCTTGCATTTTTCATAATCTTACCAACTCTACTATAACAAGCAGAGGCATTACCTCATTGTGGCCAAGCATACTTGCTTTCTAGCAGCAATTACTCATAACGAGTTTCACTTCTCCTCCTGTTGACTTTCCATCCCTCATCACATCTTTCTCTCATTCCCCGCCCCCCCATTCTCAGGCACAAAGCCTCACTCCCAGGGGCCCAGCTCAGGGCACTTTCTTCCCAAGGCCTAACATTCCAAACTAAGCACCTGCAATTTATGATCTCTGTTCCCTTGCAGCACAAAACACATAGCACACAATACATGTGTATCAGGAGAGGAATTGCAATGGAGTGAAAATAGAACATTATACTAAGACTCAAATAACTGGGCTGTGGTCTGGCCTGTGTATCTCACTAGCCCTTTACCCTTGGGTAAATCACTTCCTTTCTGTGATTCCATCTGTAAGTGATGGGTGTGTGTGTAGAAAAGTACTGGCCCAGAAATTTGCAGATCAGGTTTCTTATTCTGGCGTTATTGCTTGCCTACTTACTCTGTGACTTGGGAGAAATCATTTCCCCCTTTACTGGGCCATAATCCTTCATATGTAAAACAAGAAGGTTGAATTAGGTGATTCATTAAGGTCCCAGCCAATCTGGAAATTGGATGCTTTTATGAAATAAGTTTCATTAAATAAACATTACTTGGAGTGCCTACTCTGTGTCAGGCACTATATGATGGTGGTTGAAATTATGACTGGGAACAGTCCTGAGACCCTGAGTACAATTGCTGCTTGCTCCTCACTGTCACAGATTGGACCCATAGGCCAGTTCCTATACTTTTCTTGCCTTGGGTCTTCCATCCTTGAACCCCTCTTCCACCACCTCTAACTTTAACCAGTAATGATGAAACATGGAGGAACTTCTGAAACATACTCCACCATTTACCTGCTGGAGACATTCACAGTACTGTCATCAAGATCTAGTGTGGTCTCTGGCTGCCCTAATTGAGAAACAGGCCAGTAAGCAATGACAGATTAATGGAATTGGGAGGAAAGTGGCTGATGTTTGACAGATGGGTCTGTGAAAGCCATTTGTGAGCTGGGCTGAGGAGATTAGATCTAAAAAGACTCTTAGCACCTTGAATCTGAGATAACTTGTTCCAAAGACACCTTGAAAGGTCCCTGTAACTACATCTTCTTGCTGCCAGGCAGGGGACACCTGATAAAAGATGAGAAGCTTTCTTGGTTATATTAAGGAAAGGAAGAGGTAGCTTTTCTTAGTAATCAGTCTAGAGTTAAACAACCCTCAATGGTTAGAAAGTTGCCTCACATTTTGATTTTGGGACAAAATGACTGAATGGAATTACTCAGTGATAAGCATAGAGTGTGTTATTAGGCGCCCTTTATTTTATTCTACCCATTTCAACCTGGCTGATGCATCCCTGTGAAAAGCCAACATGAAGGCACTATTGGACATTCTACCTAGGTCAAGTGGACACATCCTGCAACTCTATGGTGAGCTTTTCTTCCCTCTTCTCCCTTGTATTAACAGCAGGCTCTGTGAGTTGTTTTCCTTCGTCCTTCTCTCACTGAAAACAACTTGGTTTCTGACCCTCTTGAGATATCACCGCCTTCCAGGCCTCCAAGCCAGAAAGGCCATTCAACTGGAAGCTGGAGTCTCTCAGGGCAGCCTGGGTTTCATTTAGGCTCCCCTCTGGCCACTCATTTCATGCTGGATGTCAAGAGTTAAAAGATGTCAGATCAGGCTGCATTTGAGTTGGCAGAAAAGTCACTAATTCAGTTCTACGTCTTTTTTCATTGTAGCCTAGAGACCACAGAACTCTAAATCAGGTGGAAGGAAGGAATGATGGAAAAAGTGCTGGAAAGCAGAAGCCCATAAGGACCCAAATGGTCCTCGAGAGAATAATTTTATCCAAAAGCAAGAGCCAAGTGACACATAAATGAGCCACAGGACTGGCCAGCCAGATGAAAAATAGACTGATGGAGCCTACATGATAACTTTCTGTATTTGATTCTGTGACCCAAAACTAACTCATCTCCCCATACCCGCAGAGAAACCTGGGACCATGAGGAGCAGCCTGACACTGGTGGGGACCCTCTGGGCCTTCCTGTCCCTTGTTACCGCTATGGCCAGTTCTACCAGTTACTTCCTGCCATACTGGCTCTTTGGATCCCAGCTGGGGAAGCCAGTGTCATTCAGCACATTCCGGAGGTGCAACTACCCGGTGCGGGGAGAGGGGCACAGTCTGATCATGGTGGAAGAATGTGGGCGCTATGCCAGCTTCAGTGCCATCCCAAGCCTTGCCTGGCAAATGTGCACAGTGGTGACAGGTGTTGGCTGTGCTCTCCTGCTCCTGGTGGCCATGACTGCAGTCCTGGGCTGCTGCATGGAGGAGCTTATCTCCAGAATGATGGGACGTTGCATGGGAGCAGCACAGTTCGTGGGAGGTAAGACAGTGTTGCTGGGATTGGGTAGGTTGGGGATCATTGTGGGGGCAGGGAGAAAAGGGAATGAGAAATGTTACCTCCTCTATTTCCATCTCTAAGGCTACAAAAAAGGAATCATTTAAAATACTCTAGGACCCTCTAAAGCAGTGGTTCTCAACCTTCTTAATGCCGTGACCCTTTAATACAGTTTCTCATGTTGTCGTGACCCCCAATTTCATTGTTACAAATTGAACATAATTAAAGCATAGTGATTAATCACAAAAACAATATGTAATTATATATGTGTTTTCCGATGGTCTTAGGCGACCCCTGTGAAAGGGTCGTTCGACCCCCAAAGGGGCCGCGACCCACAGATTGAGAACCGCTGCTCTAAAGTGTAATCTGCTAGTACATGAAGGTTTTATTCACAGTGAAATTGGTTATTAGGCAGTTGATATGTGTTTTTTAGCCTCCATTTTTATCACCTTCTTCTGCCTGCAGGGTGTCCACTTAAGAATATTATCCAGGTCTACTTTCCAGGGGCAGCAACATATATTCTAGTATTACTGCTTCAAAATACACTTGATTTTTAAAAGCCCTGATATCAGAGAACAGTGATCTAATAAACACCTACACACAAGTGCTAATTACAAATAAGAGTTTAATGTAAAGTCCTCAACAAAGAAATACATCTAATAGTGAAATGTTAGGTACCAAACAGACTGTAGATAAATGCTTATTTGGCCCACATATAAGGCTATCCCTGTCTGGTAGCCATTAACAGTCAATCTAGATTTTTTATGGCCCTGTCTTATACTATTTATCTTTTCCCTCATTCAAACTCCCTATAAATTAGTGAAGGTAAACCACGGATGTTGGAATTGTATGAATGGGCTAGGAAAGACCAAATACAAAATGGCAACCTGCAGGAAGGCAGTGGGAGAAATTTAATTTGAATTGTATAAGGTGAAAAAGCAATTTTACACAGGCAAATATATGTATGAATATGTGAGCTATATTTTACACCTGGTTGAGGCACTGGGACAAAGTGCTGATAGGAGCTATTGTTGAAGTGGGTTGTTTTTCATCAAGTTTTGAAATCATTATTTAATTCGTTATCATTCTCATATCCATTAGCAACACAGTGTGAGTGACTGTAGCCAAGAAATTTGGATCTCACTTCTGGCTCTTCCACTAAATTGCCCCGTGACCATGGGCAAATGACAGTGACCTCTCCTGTGTTCACTTCCTTTCTTTCCTTGAATTTGTTCACTAGCAAGATAGCCCAGATCCCAATTTTCTTCCTTTTTTTTCCAATTACTTGTTCAGGTGGTCTTGGAATGAGATGGTAGTGATAAGCTAAGTGATTCACAACTGGGGCTGATTTTTTTTTTACCTCCTTTCCCTGAGACACCTAATAATATTTTTGAGACATTTCTGGTAATCACAATTTGAAGAGGGTGCTACTGACGTCTAATAGGTAAAGGCTAAGAATGCTGTTAAATACCCCACAGTGGACAAGAATAAGACAGCTCCCCATTTCCAGCAACAGAGAAATAACTGGCTTAAAATGTCAGTAATGCCAAGGTTGAGAAACCCTGAGCTAAGGTATCATGGTTTCCTGACTGGCTTATGAAAAGCACCCGATTCTTTTTGTTGAATCACAGTTAAGGTAATGTTTTCAGGTTCTCTCTTTACTCAGACTCATTGCAAAAGTTTGAAATTTGAATTAACATTCTAGTCTCCCCTATCTCTGAATTTGTTTACTCATAGCTATTAATGGTTTTCAGGCCACACTGGCAAGTCATTAGATTGTTTATTTCTTCCCCTTGAAAACCATGGTATAGAACTAATTACTAAAGCTAGTCTAAGCCAATGACTTAATCCCCTTTAGGGGCTCCCTGGATATCACAAATGAACCTTAAGCAGGTTCACCTTTCACTTACCTGTCAAGAGTAAGGGGTGGTCCTTGAAACTCATATTTATAGCTCTAGGACCAACCTCAGTGCCAGGCACAGAGAAGGTTTTTAAGAACTGTAGAAAGAATGAACACATGCTAAGGCAATGTCTAGTGAATGTTGGAATAAAATGGACAAATGAGAGCTGGGTTCATTCACATCCTTTCCTTTTTTCCAGGCTTCCATCAAGGGTGTTAACTTCCTGACTTCTCTTCTGACTTGAGAGTGACAAGTTAGCCTCACTTGCATTTCTAAGAATTTCTGGCAGAGGGTGAGGCAGTATTAACTGTAGGAATCAGAAGTTCAGTAGCAATAACCTCCATCAGACTCCAAGAATTAACAATGGCTCCTACTCCAAGCTTGCATCCTATCTTGGGCTTGGCTGAGACGTTTACAAAACCCTTATGGTTCTCTATGTGACTTATTTTAGTTGGGCCCACCTCCTAGGTCTAGAAACTCAAAGGAAATTGTTGAGGGGAGATGTGGGTAGGTAAAATAGAGATTTAGACACTCATGGACTGAGTAGGGAAGAACTTTGACGGAGTGCATATAGGGGGAGTCAAAATAGTGCCCTTTTCATTCCATATGATTCTGCCATTCTATATTCCTCATTGACCCGTGCTCATATGAGCATGGTCACAGTATTTACACTGAGATGAGGGTCTTTAAAATTCAAGAATAAAATGCCATTTGACAGTACTCATGGAAAGAGTCAAGACTCAAGGTGTGCTATAAGGTTTATCCCTTATATTGGACAAGGGAATGATGATATTGGACAAGGGAATGATATTGGACAGATAACCAATTTTCCAGTTTCCATATCTGTAACACCAACCAACTAATAGTCATTACCACCTATATTTTAGAAACTTATGCCTGTTAAGGTGGCATCAGATGTGAAGGAATGGTGAAAACTGCTTGGATATATCATATTTTCTAGGAGTCCTTTGGCACATGACTATTACCTAAGGCTCTTTAGAGATCTCAGGTCTGACCCCTCAAAGATGGGCTCTACTAGTGGCAGACAGCCAAGCCTGACTCAAGAGAAAGAGCTGCGGGGGATTTAGTTTAAACTTGTTGTTCAACTGAGGGGAATTGATTTTGTTGCTCCAGGCCTGGCTGATTCTCGGCAGCTAGTGCATTAACCGAAATACATTAGGGGGAGGAGCCAATTTGTTTCAGGTCTGGTTTATCTCTGCCAGACCCCAAACCACTGAAGAGACGGAGTATCCATTAAGAACTATCTCCTCCCCCTGCTTGACTCTTATTCCCCAGTTTGGCGGCTTCCCACAGAGATGAGCGGTGGGAAGTGGGAGAGACAGGAAGAAATAAAGATCTGCTTGACTGAGTCATGCTCAGCAAGGTGACCTGATGGGGCCCTTGGGGCCCATTTAGCTCCACCTGCAGCTGATCCAGCTGGACAAGCCTGGGGTCCAAAGAACCTTCCACTGGGACCTTCATGCCCTGCTCCAACCGGTGAAGGAAACATCTGGTCAGGAGATTATTTCAGCCCTGGGGATGCTGAGGTTTCCAACCAGCTGGCCCCCAGCCTCTGAGAACGGGGTCATTATTCACATTCCCCTGTGGATGTATACACAAGATACTTGTGAATTATCCTCTATCTTCAGTAAGAGCTAAAAAAAGAAGAAATAAGTGAGAAGTAAATATAAGGAACTTCTTGGCAGGACAAAGTGTAAGATCTTGGATCGGGTTGCTTGAGGGAGGCCAAGAATCTTTCTAGAGTAGAGAATGTATCAGAATCACCTGGAGTGCTTAAATGATGTGGATTTCACACTTTCCCATTCTGATATCCACAGAAAAAGGTGGAAGGCATATTTTGAAAAATCTCCCTAGTGACTCTGATGTGTATTCTGTGTTCCCTTTCCCCAACCCAAGTAAGAACCACCACCCTGGAGATTATTGATACAATTTAATACACTCAGACCAGCACCCGTGTTTTATTCTGTGCTACATGCTTCAGGCCAGATGAAAATTGCCACTGGAAACAGATCACTGAGAACTTGATTCAAGGAAAGGGTGCTATTTGTCTAAAAACCATTTCCTGGAAAGTCGTCCAAAGTTTCACCAGAAATTATTTAACGTATCCTTACCAGGCTGAACAAGGATTATAAAAGTGGCTTTATGTTTGGGAAAATGTTTTCAAAGAAGTTAACCTGCTAGCAAAGACTCAGGTACAAATTGAAGCAGGGCAGAGAATATGGTTCAGGGATTCTGATGCTCAGCTCTGGGCTTTATGCACCAGTGCTACTGATTTTTCTTTTTCCCTTTGGAGAAAAAAATGCTATCACAGTGTTTTGCAGAGTGGTCCATGAAGCACTTGTCTAAGCATTACCTGGGGTGCTTGTTAATGCAGCTTGCTTAGGGCCATTCTAAGACCACTGAGTCAGAACTGATGCCGGACACCCTGCGTTTTATACAACCTCTCATGCTGATTTATTTTTGAAATGATAGTAGGAAATATTTCTGATGTATGTACCACTCAGCGGAAGAAATAGAGTTTTACCAATACAGTTGAAGTCTCCTTCCTACCGTCATCATAGTCCCTTGTCCCCACAGCAAAGGTAACTACTGTCTTGGATTTGTTATTTATGATTCTCCAGCAGATTCCAGCACACATAAAAAGTTGAGAACCTCTGCTAAGTTTTGTTTTAATATTGCTTTTAAAATGGAGTTCCCTTTTCTTCTATGTCTGCTTGTACATAAATATCCCTCTATCTCTCAAAGGCAAAGTCAAATGCAACTTTTCTGTGAAGCCTCCACTGATCTACTTTAGAAATCTCTAGCAGCACTGAAATGTCTTATAACTCTGACTGAAAATATTAGGTTGAAAGCATGGGAGACTTGAGTGGGGGAGTCCCCGGGAAAGGGAAAGCTGAGATATAGCTGGAGGGTAGATATAAATTTTCCACTGTGTTTGAGTTGAAGTTGCTACAAGAGCAATAAATTGAGCAAATTAATAGCAAACTAACTCATACTAGGCTTCTGCTTGGGGTAGTAAATTCAAAGTACTAATAACCATATTTGGACAAGTATTTATGGATT